CGTGCGTTTGTGCGTGTGTTGTTTTAGGATGTATTTTTGGAAATATTATTTTTAATGTACACAATTTTTCCCACTCGTTATCTTATTGCATTTATTATTTCTTCAATTTAATGAACGTGATGTGTTATGAACTACGAAATTAAATTACATCATTTTCCTAGTCTTTAGTTGAATAACGAGTACATATTATATTATTTACATTATTAATTATCATAATAAAAATGGATACGTTTTTCCGGTTTTTGGTACATTCAACCGCCAGTTCGAGTAAATGGAAATTAACCCAGTCGGATTGTGAAAACGATGATCCCGATCATAGAAAAAAGATATCTGGTGATCAGAATAAAGTTAACACGGAAGAACCAATCGAAAACAACAGTACATATGTTACCTTTTTGACGGGAAACATTTGTTTGGTGATACACAACATTTAATAAATTAAGACGAAAGTAAACACAATATTATACAGGCATGTACTTATATGACAGTATATATATATTTTTAAATTATATTTATTTTAATTTCTATAATTATCTGTAATTTATCTAGATAAAATATTTTTATCTTATATCTTTTTGTTTGATGAATTTGATTTGATTATCTTTTATCTTTATCTCAGATAAAATTTAGTGTTTTTATATTTATCTTTATGCAGACGATTTTTTTATTATCTGTTCCTAACACTGTTTTAGTAACGCCTTATAAAAAATCAAATTGTGTACAAATCATAGATTCCCAGACATGTCATAAAACAATTAGATATCCGACTACAGGATAATATTGAAGTCGAGCAGCCATACGCAAACAGGGCAAAATTGCGTGGTTGATAATATACATATATTCGTAATATTTATGCCATGTAAATATGTATAGGTATATATATTATCTATTGAGTTATTTTGTAAACATTGTCCTGTTGACATATTATGGCCGCACGACTTCAACCTTAGATCATATACTAATATACTTGTATCGCAGATTATATTAAACAAATTGAATATAATTAATATAATAATCTGTGCTCGTATATTATGATCTAGGGTTTCGACGTTCCTGTGAGAATGTATATTATGTAGTCCGCTATCTAAATGTTTTACATGTCTATGGTACAAATTCATATTACCCGTAGTTTTGTTACTCTATGCCCGTAGTCAGACGAAAGAACCTCCCTAGTTCCTACCCATAGACCTATTAATAGGTCTACGTTCCTGCCTAATTACTGCACGCCTGACGTCTCGGTCAACATAAATACAAAAAGGGCGGTGACAAAATTATTATCGCATAGGTTTATCTTATACCTACCGTTTATTTTATTATTCACCTTGATTGGTGGTGTGGCATTGTGGCTCATGAAAAACCGAAAACTTCAATCGATGAGTCGATGTGCGACGAGGGTGGCACGTCAACACGAGGCGTAGGTGGGTACGTAATTTCACCCACACCTATAATCACGGATTCATTTTAAAATATGATAGACGGTTGGTCGATACCGCGATTGGTGCATATATTATTTTATACCTGTTACCTATAAGCGTGTTCAGACATTGGCTTTCGGGCGCATTATAATAATTAAGATGGATACATAATACGCAAGCATTCACGTTTAATATCTAACTGCTGTGTATTGCAGCTATTTAGGAAAAGGAAGTACGATCACTGTATCAAGATGGATAAAATGTTGTTCGAGCAGTTCGACCCCTAAAATCAATTAGAACTAATACAAAATATTAAGAACATTATAATATTATTTGGTTATCACATGCTTGATCACAGTAATAAATCACATTTAAAAATAATCCGAAATAAATAGGTACGTACGTACGTATTTAAATACAATATTTACAATTATTTAGGCTTATGAATTACTATGATTCAACAACAGCCAACAGGTTACCTACGGCAGTACGGCTACCTATTGGCTATTAACAATTAAGTGGGTATAGGTAATTAATTAGGTAATGCGATCAGGCTCTGCTCGTCTGCAGTCTACATACCTGCGGGTATATTTTACAATGCAAATTGCAAAGTAGAGTACGAGTAGGTACCTATATCTACTGCCAAAGTGTTAGCTAAAAAAAAATGGTAAACACCTACAATAGTACAATATTATATTATATTATTTGTTGAATTTATAAACTTCAGCATTTATTTCAACGTTTCTACGAACAACAACTTATTTTATGCTGTTTGACTTGAGTTGGCATTTTGAAGGCTAATCAATTTATTGATTTACCATCATACAAATATAATACTCGCTATAAAAAAAAAAAAGGCTCTAAGGGTGATCTATATATCTAAGGTATATTGGTATATAAGTATATAGGTATACGAGTATAGGTACCTATAATAATATAGATAACTATCATCGCCACGTCTTGACAGAAATGGAATGTAGGAGGATAAACATCGCCAGTTTAAACGCAATGTGCCAATATTCAATGGTATATATTATTCATAGCCCATAGGGTACTAACCTATATCTATGCTACTTTTCTTGAAAGTTGAAAACTATATTAGTACAAATAACAAGGACCTAACAACTATCAACAAGACAACACAATATTCATATGTTGTGCACCTGCAAGGCACAATAGTCTACAAATAGTACAAGTTAATGATAAAATATTTCGTGGGCGTTAATTATAGGTTTATTAATTTGTTGAATGGTATACGTAACTATGTCCAAAATTAAGTAATGATTTGTCATACCTACCTGGTGTTGATGGGAGTGTGGATGACCTATTTTGATTGCAGAGGGGTGACTGACATTTTAAGCTTTGCTTAAGTTTTATCAAAGGCCATAACTATGGAAGCGTAGAGTAGGTACCAATTACGAAGTACTTTTAACAAATTTCAAATAAAAAGACAATGAGACAAAATATATATGTTCTTCACTGTAGCAGTGTAGCCTGTAGGTATCCAACTATTTATTACTATATTTAAATATTATAATAATAATAGGTAGGTATATTAAATTAACAGAGGGGCCCAAACTGTGGTTCACGAATCGTGATTATATTTTTGGTGGATCGCGTTAAGTTTTGAAATATTTATACATTTTTTGTGAGATAAAATATTTAGTATTAGATTTGGCCTATCAAATATGTAAGTACCTATACCTATCTATATATATGTATACATAAAGAAACGATATATTTTATGTATAAATACCAGTTCCTCAAGGTACTGTATTTTTCGTGTAACAGTTACACCAGAGGTATTTAAACTTTTTCATCCCACGGCTCCTTTAAGTCTTCACAAAATGTTGACGGCTCGAAAATTATAAACGACAAAAAAAAACAATGTTTATATGAATGTAATTTATATTTTATAATTTTTACTTATTATTTATTTACCATATTATACATATATAAAAAAATTACGCTGATTTGGCGAATGATTGTTGTAGACAATTCAACGTTTCCCAACCGGTGTGCCACAATGATAATAGCAAACGTTTTTTCGTAAAAATATTTATTGGTTTTCAATTATACTACGCGGCTCCCTTCGACAACTCCCGCGACACACAGTTTGAATACCTGAGTTACACTATAATTTACTTAAGAAGTCTTACTATATGTCTATGTAGAACGTTTATGTTCGAATTTATTTCTATCTTCTATCATTGATGGTCGTTATAATGTTATATGCGACGATTACTAGATGTACCAGTAGACGTATCATCACGATCAGGGGCGTGCAAAAATAATTATTAATAAAAGTTAATATAATACGTATGTGGAACTCGATTAGGCTAGGTCTGGAGATAGAAACTACCCCCGAAAAATAACGCCCCTGATCACGATGCTGCTAGATTCAATTTTATTTCAAAAATAGCGATCAGCAGTGAAACAAAAAAGAAGCCAATTGGTACATATGTAACTTACTCCCACTGCTTTCATAGTAGAATTTACCGAAATTCCCCAACGCATAGGGAAGAACTATATCTATGACGTGTCGTTTTAATTTTTTTTAAAACACTAATCTAACATTCACCCATAATTTTTTTTTAATTAAGTGATAAAAACCTAATGTTTTCAAAATGATATGTTTAATTGTATTTATGTTAGCCAAACAATAAAAATGCTAACCTAACCTAACCGTATATAATATATTTATACATTTCAAATAAAAGTAGGTCGACTATCAAGAATCTACTGAAATAATAATATTTTACAGTCAACATTTTATAATTTTGATAAAATCATCGTCGGCTGTGACTTTAATTCCCTGATATTCGGTTACATTGCGATACTGAATTTATCTGCGTATTTGACTACGATAGGGGACAATACTACAACCCTATTTCTGTTATTTCATACCCACTATCAAAATATCTGAAAGAACTTATCTGTACTATTAAGGCAACAAAGGTGCCTACATTATCATTAGCCACTTAAAATACAAGAAGCAATACAACGAGTCAATGAGTTTAACAAGTTCAAAGTAGCTACAATTTAATTATTTCAGTTAATTATTATATTTGTAGACTTGTTTCGGTTTAATAAACAAGGATATTTTATAGCATCAATTTATTTTGTCTATTTCTAGTCCAAAATGCAATGATTATCAGCCCATAAAAGCACGCATATTATTCCATACACTTTAAGTGTATATAATTCAAACAAACTTTGAAAAAAGTACAAGTATTACACTATCTATGTACTATTTTCCCAATATTTTGCATAATTTTATATTGTCCTGAAAATAGTTGAAATACAAAAACTTTAACTTAAAATGATAGGGAAAACACTCATGTATATAAAATATAATATATACTATACATTACAGTAGTAACCATTTAATCCGGACAAAATTCTTAAGACTGAATAAACATTGTATAATTCTAACACAATTCTCCGCCTAATTTGTCTGGGATAAAAAATAAACTACTGTACTTAAAATAATAAGTCAGAAATATTTGGAAAACCTTTATTAGTAGTTATAATTTAAATATAAAACTTAAAATAGGTTTTAACTTTCAATATAATAATAATGAATTATGTAGCCAAAAATGTTATTATTTCTTCACTAATAATCATCAAATTATACACTATACTTTGCTAACATGTCTGGAGTTACTTTAAAAGCAGGATCCATGAAAGCCTGTACTTTTTTCTTATGAATCCTAAAAAAAAAAATAATCATAACAATTATGAACAAAAGGTAACTTTTTAATGCCACAAACAATCATTAACATTTAATGAATCAATAGTGAGCTAATGCTCCTAAATAAGATTAAGTGACTCATGATTGGTCCATTAAATGTTAGTAAACATTAAATCAATTAATCAATTTTTTATGCAATTCTTTATAAATATTAATAAAAATATAAAATTTGTATATTAACTTACTTAAGTTGTTTTTTCCCAACAGATAATATGTTACGCTTTTGTAAACTTTCAAAACAATCTTTGAATATATTTCCTTGTGGTTCAGTTTCTCTTAGTGTACCTTTTAAATCTTTTGGTAATGTAAAAGCATCTAATGACTCAGTAAACTTATTGGTTCCTAAACGCCTGGTGCTAATATTATTTAATTGTCTCTTTTGTAATCTTTTAAGTTTTTTTTTATTAGTTGTGTTCTCCAATTCATCCAATTCTTCTCTTATATAACGTAATCTAAAAATAAAAACAGTCAAATTAGTAAATGAACATTATTCAACAATTTAATCAATTTTCATGGATGTACTAAAAGAATTACCTATAAAGATCTGAAACTTTCTTCTTTTCAATTTTAGCATTCATACGTTGTCTTTCTTCATTACGTAATCGTCTCTGGATCTTACGTTTTTTAATGGTCTTCTGATTATCTCTTGTAGTAGGTGGGTTAATGGCTTTAAACTCAGAAGTGTCTTCATTGACTTCTTTAACTGTATCATCCGTAAAGCCAGGCAGACCTTCAGTTAATTCTTCAATTATCATTTGCTAAAAATTCAACAAATTAGTACAAAAAAAATGAAATACTAAAGCAATGAAAGCATTCGTTTCATTAGTTAAATTTACTTCATGTTTATCTTTAGAAACTTGTTTGAATAAGTTTCGTGTAACTCTATTCATATGTGCTTCATGCTTTATCAATTCTGTTTCTTTATCAGCAATATTGGTCAATAATGAGACATGATCTTCGATAGTCGGATTGTATGAAAGACCAGGGTGTGGACATTTCATATCTTCAGCTTTACATGTGGTTTGGCTCGGATGAGACATTTTTTTATCACTTAATTTTGGAAGAATTTTAGCATTATGTTGTAAGACTTCCTTTGGCAACCATTTAATAACATTTTTGATGAGTTTATCTTTTCTTTGTCCTGGTTCTATTTAAAAACAAAAGTATGAAATAATAACTGATCAAAAATATGTAGAACTAACCAAGATATACATATACTTTTACATCAGCACCGCAGCCAAAATTTTTTTTTGGGGGGAGGGCTGCAATATGTTATTACTAGGACTATGGTAGTACTAGTAAGTTTGATATTGCAAGGGGAGCTTAAGCCCTAAAGCCCCCATCCCCCAGCTACATACTTCACATTATAATTTATAAGTATGTATTTTATATTTTTATCAAGTTAGAAGATTAAATTATATAATACACATACCTCTATAACTTGTCCATAAATCCTTATCAAAAAGATCTTTAGTTGAATTTTCTTTTAGTTCCAACGCTTTAACTTTTTCTTTTAACATTTTATTTAATTCCTTTGCCTCTTTTTTCTTAACTATAGCTTTCCTGAGAGGTTTAATGTTTTTGTCAAAATCATCTTCCTTTTTATTATTTTTTTTGTATTTTTTTACACTTCTGAAAATTAAACATTCAAAACAATTTTAACTTAAATATATTTTTTTCAACTTTTTACAACTAATAAAATAATTTTATTTCAACCTAAAAATAAGATAATGTAAACTATATACCTATAACAATATTTAATTTAAATTGAATTTAACATATAATTCTAATTTACTTTTACTCTATTATGCATATTTATGAATACAAATAAATCACAATATATTCAAAAAAAAAAAAACTACATGGGTATAAATACATACTATATATTTAAGTTAATTTCAATAAAAGGTTTGTTTAAAAATTTCAAAGTTAATGATTTGAGACACACTAATCTATAAGCATTTAAGGATATAATAGAAGTCATTTCAAAATTACCTTTTAGCAAGTGGTGGAATAGCAGATGTTGATTGTAAACTCGATAGACATTTCAAAGGTGCATTCAAGGATTTTTTCTTAGGCTTTTGTTTCTTTCCACTTGTATCAACATGAAACAGCTCTTCATCTTTTTTTTCACTGAATGGATCTCTTCATGAGAAAAATAAAATTAATATCAATGATTTATGAAGAATTTGTACAATATAATAATATATTGCTCTAACGTCTTCCGCCTTGGGTCTTACATACCCTATTCGTTCTTCGAGACGTTTCCCCTCAAGATACGTGTCAACATCAGTTACATCAATTTTTCTTCTCCAATCTCGTTTCAACCTTCTTCCTCCCCTTTTTTTGGTTTTCATCGCTGATATAATCGTTAAGTTATAACTTTAAATGAATTAATACGAATTACGAAACTACCAACAAGAGAGTTAGACTTTAAGAAATAGAGAATTATAGTAGAATACTATTCACGTGGTTTATCAACAATATTAGTGATAACCATGTTATCAATAAAATTTTTATCCCATATCATGGAGTACAATATATCGCAATGGCCGTGTTTGACTATTATTATTTTGTTATATTTATTTATAGATAGATGTAAATTGTCTATGTTTTTATCAAGGGGTGGCCATATCATTCTGAAAAAGAGGCGAAAACGGGGTACTTGCAGTGTAACCATCATATGAAAAATAAATTATTGTAAATATACACATTTATGGAGTTTTCTCCATATTACCATAAATTATATATTTTTTTAATAATTATTATTGGTGTAAAATTCCGATTGTGTAATGTTCGTCTTATACTCTTATGCCATATTATAATGATAATGTATTTGTGTTTTCTGCTCTCCTATACATGCATAAAAATTTTTGCTTATTCGCTGAGGCACTATTGCACTAAAACTACTTAAACCATAAAATTATTTTGTAAAATTGAATTACATTATAAGAAATCTTATTTAAATTGGACTAGTAATAGTAATAGTAATATTGGGCTAGTTAATTTAGTTTCAATTTCAATTATCTTAAACAAACCTAACATAATATGTATATTGTATAGAACATATTATACATATTAATTTTGAATTAGTATTTTCTGCTCCTATATAATACACGGGTACTCCATTACTTTACAGTAAAATGGTTATTTCAAAATGTTGATTGAAAGTAAAATATTATAAATACAACTTTAAATTAGAATATTTTAAACTAACACATTCTTTTATTTTAAATACCTAATAAACATTCATAGGTAATAAAAATAACAACAAATAATAATAAAATAATAACAAACTGTATTTATTATAATATACCTACAAATCTTAGAGTAATAATAGGTACTTATACAGTACAAATAACTTACTAACTAATAATAATAGTAATATAATAAACTATACAATATTAAATTTACACTACTGGCCTTTAAAAAGGATCATTTTGTTGTACCAGTTTCTGAGTGAAATATTTTCAGAGCTCTTTTTGCAAGCATATTTAGTTTTTAAATCAAAATATTTTGAAATTATAGATTTAATTAAAAGGGTTACATGATTAGTCATACAATCATTATCAAAATTATGAAACTCAATATCATTAAATACAGAAGTATTATTTATAAAAAAATTAAGAGTTTTTGTTTGAATAAATAATTTATGCCTAGGTTTATTAGACTGGTGTTGAAAAGACCTCATAATTTTTTCAGTTTTTGTACATATAAAATTAACACTATCACTTGGATATGACAAACCGCCAACATCTTTAAGATGAATTAAAGAACTTAAAAAGTTGTCTTTGACACCATAAAGAGCACCTACACAAATCTCACATTTAATTTTGAATGAAAGATGACGAGAAACAAAACCTGCAATATAAATAATAACTTCTGTACAAAAGTCACTGAGAGTATTATTTACAATGTAATCATGGTCATGTATAGTTAATGTTTCAGGTTCAAGCTCAATGTCTTTATATAAATTTAAATATGCACTATTAATTAAGTCTTCAGGTTCTTTATTTTTTATGCTAGAACAATTTAAAATGGAAATATTATCAAGAGGAATACAGTTACCAAGAGCACTATTTTTAATTTCAGCGTGCATTATTAATTTTTTATAAGAGGCACGAAATTGCCTTGCAGTGGGATTGTTATTTAAACCACCATGAGATTTTATAGATCCAAATAAAAGCTCCAAGTGATCTTGGCTAAATTTATAAAAACATAAAAATTTTAATTTTTTTGATTTTAAAAGAGTGTCATATAAAGTCTTTAAAGATTCAAAACAAATTAAAAAACCTAAAAATCCAGTTTTTCTTGGAGATTCAATGACAAGTTGACCGTTTGGAAATTTCAAATCTTTAATATATGTGCTCATTTTATCGATACAATTTTTTATTTCTTCAAAATTTCGGTCACACAGGGCAGATTTCAAACCATAATCATTGAATTTTCTTGAGTTAAGTATATCAAAAGCATCATTGAATATTTGGATAAATTCAATAGTTGCATTACAATTTTGAAAAGATTCAAGTTTTAAAGTATTTTGACAAAAAATCAAGGCGTCAGCTACAGACTTACTTAAAAGCTGTGTTGCTAGCTTAACTTTCATTTTTTGGCGAAAGAAAAAAACATGATTTTTTTTCAGTTTGTTCCCTAAATGAAATCCTTCATTTTCTTGGAGAGTTAAGAGTTCTTTAATAAATTTGAAATTTATTTGTTCATTATTACTATTCAATAAAAGTTGTTTTTCACCAAAAGTATTTCGAACCAACTTTATCATATGTGCCGGGTCTGGTAAAATTACAACAGATTCATTTGAATTATTAACACTAAAATCTGTTTTTAAATTTTTAAAATTTAAATCACAACCTAATATTTTAGACATAGTTAAATTAGTAGGGCACCCATCAAAAGTCAAACTAACAATATTCACTTTTGTTGTCTGTATGAGATTTAATGCTTGTTTGACCAGCTCAGCTTTTTGTAAACTACTAAGATGATTGCATAAAAAGTAACCGATAGGAAGCTTCCACGATTCATTAACGCAAACTACCATGAATACAAGACATTCAGTAGCTATTTCCATAGCATCTGTTTCAGCAGTTCTTCCAATATTTACATAACCATGATACTTGAAACCATCCCACTCAACATGCTGCCTTATAGCTACTTCATCAACCATCAAAGCACAATATATAGGTTTATCATTTTTAAGCGTTTTAAGCGTAAGCATATCAAGCGATTCCTGCGTAAAACCTGGTTCTGCATCCATATGACAGTACCATTTACCAAGCGTGCGTGGATGAGGCAACACACAATTAAATTCATTACGAACAAACTCATATGCTTTAGGTGAGTAAAAGTTGAGTGTTAAAGCAAATTTTCGCAGATCTACACTAAATTTTCTAGGAACAGCTTTGCCTTTGTTTTTATTTGCCAAATTTATTATCAAATCTTTATTCTTACCTGCAATTATTAAGGCAGACAAATTATACATAATTATAATTGTGAAGAATGTCTGCATTTGCTGCTGTTAAAAATTACCAAAACTATCCATGAGTATTTCTACTGAGTCTTCATTAAGTAAATTTTTTTTTTTCAAAACAGTAACAACTTGTTTTAATGAACTAATTTTCTTTTTTTTTCGGCTAATTTTTTGACGAAGAACTTTGATTTTTTTTGATTTTAATTCATTGGTAATTGATAAATTAAACAAAGCTTTTTTTAGACGCAGTTTTTTTGGTTTATCATCATCAGTAGATTTGCTCATATCCAAATATGATCTTTTAGACTTGTGCTTAAACAAAGATGTAATAATAGTTAGTAAAATAATAACTAAGTATAAAGTATCTAATATACTGCCCACTCCTGTTTATACATACAGGTATAATAATATTTTCTGTTGAACTGATTTGCTTTTCGTCAAGAACAGGTTCGATTTGTTGAACAGTAATTTTATCAATATCTTCAATAATACAATCATCAAGTTGCATACTTGAGATATCTGAACATTGCTACAGCAAAAATGTACATTATTCATATTTATTCAAATTATATAAAGATGTTATAGACAATAGTGTTACGACCCACACCGTGTTCGATAATATTGTGGATTATTATTCCTACGTGAATTATCTAGTCCTCGAGATCGTCTGCACATACCCGCCCCTCGATAAGTAATATACTGATGTTACTATACTTACAGGAGTAGCATTTTCATGTGAATTAGTCTCATTTACACAAGATACAAACTCTTCAGGATAAATATTTTTCGCCTAAATTTAAGTGTATATAAAGTGTATATAAAAAATCAACAAATATGATTTATATAAAATTTTTTGTAAAACTTACACTCTTCACTCTTTTAATATAAATCGAAGGAATAGCAAAAGGCTTTAAATGTATGCTTCTAGCGTATTTATCAAAACAATGCGCATCAAAATGTAAAGAACAAACAACAGATTTTGGTTTGATTGAACCAACATTAATGTTGCACTTGTTCTGGATAAAATTTAACCACTCTTCTCTGACATTACTCTGTGGAATTCTAAAAAAATAAAATATTTTTATTATGTTATTAAACAGTCAATGAACCTATAAGTAAGGAATTTAGAAACAAATTTACGGATCAACAAGTTCTTATTGAACTACAATTTAATTCAAGACTTTAAAAAGTGACGAGATTAATATTTTTTAACGTAAAGTTTAGTTAGGTAACTCCATTACCATTAGATCAATAGAAGTACTAACCGGTGAAATGTAATATTGTCGTTTTCTTTTTTTTGTTTCTGAGTCCGAGCGCACAAAATACAGCTGACCATTATGATTTAAGGTTACTTACAAGTTACAATTACTTAAAATTACTTAATTACAATAATTGTACAAAATACAGTTAAAAATTATAATTTTTAAAGCTAATCAAACAGCTGCTTATCATTACCAACCATAATTTTTATACTATATTTTTCTGTGATAATATAATGTCCATTATCCATTTAATTTCATGGTCGACAACGCCATCTAGTGTTCACTAGAGTTGTAAGAGGGGTACAATGGTGTTCAATTTTGCTTCGATCTGATAATCATAATACCTGCATAATGCCTCCTCTTTAGTTTTATTACTCTATGGTTTTTATAATACTTATGCGGTTGTTTACTGCATATTATTGTACTATATAGTGTACTGTGTCGAAACACTCAAAACGAACATGGTCTTTGAGAAACAGTTGCTTCTCGATATTTTTAATATTTAGCAATATGAATCTAAGAAAACAATAACTAAATAATAATTATCGTAGGAAAATAACAATAGTAATGTTAATAGTACTTGTGTTAATTATAAATTGTTAGTAGGAGGGTGGGTGGGTTCTGTGTCAATTTTAGGCTGCTTAAGGTTATTTTAGGTTCGTTTCGTCACTGAGTGTACTACTGTAACATTAGACTTTAGTCGCTCATAAAAAATGATTATGGGTTTACTCTCAAC